AATGTGGAAGAAAGGATGGCACATTCTACCATATTTGGTGGTCCTGTACTGAGGCCACGAAATATTGGAAAAGGATTAAAAAATGGTTAAAAGAGATTACTTTCTCTTTGGCTTCTCGTATTTCAATGCAAGAAATATACGTTTGCTGAGGCAAAGGACTGGTTTAAAAAGCAACAGACATTGGGAACAAATATTGGGAAAAAAGACATAGAGATTAGGAACTTGGATTGCTCAAGGTTGACTACTTGATGGGCCTTTTGCTGTCCTATCATTAAGATGTTATTATTCAATATGGAGTTTATTGGTAATCTCCCCCTTGTTGTTTTCCTAACAGCCTTATAGAGGGCATCATTACAATTCCCATTTTGGCAGTAACATGAAAATTGCTCACAAGTATCCAGAAAGTAAATGATTGAGTAGGAATTTGAATCCAAATTTTATATTCTAATCAGTGACTTTCTATGAATGTGTCAAAGGTGTCAGGGAAAAGAAGGCTTCTGAACCACAAGCTGCTTAGTCCTACCATGATTTTAAAATTAAAAAAAATACAAATTTACGAGATAAAATAAGAAGCTTATTACAGAAGTTAAAGTTCTCAGTGGGGCTTGTTATTCAATGCATATGGAAGTTTAGCTTCCAAGATTTCTTCCCCTTTGTTTTTTAGAGACATCATTCTCACAGACTGAGATCATTGCCTATTTTCTTTTGGCTTGCTTGGCTAAACCGGAGATATCCACAGATGATATTAAGTATTCTTCCAAGATAGTGCAAATCCTTGTTAAACTACAAAACCCATATGGAGGCTTTTACTCCACACAGGTAACAAGTCAAGTTTTGGGATGGGAACTATTGGAGTAGAGCATATATTGGTGTTAGGATGGCTGATCAATCAAATATGAAATTTCTGCCAGTGAATCATTGATATTAAGAACTTTCCCGATGTGTATTTAACCTTTTCCTGCTGTATCTGCATAACTAGCTCTCACCTCATCTCTAGCCACCACAGACAGCCTTAAATTATTCTTAGCCATACCAGGGTATTGTAAAGTATTCCGCCATTATTCCAAGGGCAACCTCAATCTCTGCAAAATCTGTTAAGTTTTTATTACCCACTTTGGAAAGCAGTTGGGTAGGTGCTGTCACCGAGAATAGAGGCAATAGATGCAAATGGGGATTAGCAATTAACAATATATTTCATGGTAATATAGCTTTCTGCTAATTCACGAGTGACTAGCACTTTAGTTCAGCAATGTGTGTGGATGGGTGAGGGGTGGGGAGCAATAACTGTGGTTAAGAGAGGCAGCATTTGTAGCAAAACTCTTCAGGCAACTTTTACAATAGGAAGTTACCTAAGAGAAAGAGATTTAAAAAGAGAATTGTAAATTTATCCAATTTATTTTTTTAAGTAGAAATAATGTTGTATATTTCTGTAAGTCATACAGCAAGATGATTCTTTTAAAACTGAGCCAAGAATTCACAGAACATGTCATTGAGGGTTTAGGTGCTCCTGAGGTTATGACGGCAATTGGGACTAGAATGTCCATTGTTAAGTGATGTGGTTGTAAAGTATAATGTCATGTGACCACATTATTTAGTGATGGCAGTCCTGGTTGCCGTTGTAACCCTAGGACTATGGGTCATTAAGTGAGGACCTCATGTGATCATGACATGGGAAAAGGCAAGGGTCCCAGGCAAACAGATCAGTTAGTGAGAATTATTGGCAGGCAGGGAGTGCAGGTGGGCACTAGGGAGTGCAGACAAATGGGCGCTGCAAATGGGCAAAAAAGCAGCAGAAGCAGGAACAACTTGCAATCTGCTCTCTTCCCCATTGACTTTGCTTGTGTGAAACTGGCAAGGAAGGTTGCAAATGACAATTATATGACCATAGGATGCTGCAACCATCATAATTGTAAGCCAGTAGCCAGGTACCCAAATTGAAATCACATGACCACCAACTCCAAGGACCATTGGTAAGTCCAGGCTATCATAACTTTGAATGGTCACTGAATGAGTAATCATAACTCAAGAACTACCTGTATATCATGTTATAGGAAAAAATGTAGATAGTATTCTGCAGAAAACAAGGTTTGTCACTGAGAAGACAGAACATAGTCCAGCATCATATTGCTTCAGGTCAGATATGCTTGTGAGATGTTATGCAAATGTTACATTCATTGGTATATCTGAGCAAGTATTTATTTGATGGGTAAGAAGAATGGAGTGTGTACATTTTCATCAGGTATTAAATCCTTTGGTGAGATTATGATAAGTAAAAACATAGAAAAGCAATGAAACACACACAGAGGAAGATTGGATTATAAAATTAACCAAACTTCAAGATGTGGCAAAGCTGACCAGTCTGGTCAGAGAAAAAATAACAAAGATTTTTAAATGTTGAAGGAATGGAGAGGGAATTTGAGAAACTGGATGAAAATTGTCCAAGCAAGAGGGTTCTAGGAACATTTTTTAAGGAGGGAGAGAACCAAGGCCTCCTTAAAAGGTTGTGGTAATGTGCCCTCTTGCAGTGATGAATTTGTCACTGCCTGAACCCGCTTAGCTGTCACCATCCTCAAGACTTTCACAAGCCAGGAGTGAAAAGGTTTTAATTGATGGCTTTGAGGACTCTGTCTATCAGGATCAAACTGTTCCCAGATAAATGGGTAAAACTATTCCCCAGCCATCTCTAAAGCACTGCTCTATACTTGGATTCCATCTGGGAATGGACCTGAGTGACTTTGTCCATCAAGTGTTCCACAAATTCCTAAGAAACTGCCATTCCATAAAATGGATTTGCACTTAGGACAATGTTGTTCACTTAGCAATCACATGGTTCACTTAATGACCAGGGGGACATGCTTAACAACCATTGTAAAATTGCATCTGATCCAGTGGTGGGTTTCAAATCCCATTCCAACCGGTACGGTTGGAATGGGCGCGGCGGCATCCTCATGGACACACACAGTGCATGCATCTTAATGCCTCCGCGATGCTCCAGCTGCTCCGTGGAGCATCGTGCAGGTGCTGTATGCGCCATGCATGTGCACAGAAGTGCAGAAGCCTTAAAACACAGGTAAGGAGCTCGGGCGGGCGGATGGGCCCTGCAGAGCACCGTACTGGAACAGTATTCGGTGCTCTGGGCTGGCTCCGGTACACCCGTACCGGGGTGTACAGCCTGCAACCCACCATTGGTCTGATCATAGATTTACAACTACAAGAACGACGAACAAAATTCCAATCCCAATCTGCTGAAATCCAAAAACTAAACAATAATATTACAGAGGCATGAAGCCTAATGGCTTCAAATTAGAATGTACTTAAAAACTATAGCAGAGTATTACTTTCTTCCAGGATACTGTGGTTTCCCTGCAAGGTTTAGCCAGGTATGCAGCATTGACATTTGTTGAGATAGAAAATCTAAAGGTGGTGATAAAATCCATTCAAGGCTTCCAGCATGAATTCCATGTGAACAAGGAAAATCGGCTGGTGCTGCAGCAGGCCTCCCTTCCAGAGATCCCTGGTCAGTACAAGGTGGAGCTCTCAGGTCATGGCTGTGTTTATGTGCAGGTAAGCAAATAATAAAAGCTTGTGTGATTTGGCCTTTGATCCTCTGGGAGCAGCATGTTAATATGCAGATATCTCAATCTTAAACTTGAGGAGTAAATGAAAATCACATATGTGATCTTTCTCTATAACCACAAATTTCTGGAGCTAATATCTATTGTAATGCATTCTGTGCTTATTATGCTAAATCTCAACATTGGGAGATACAGATTCAAGTCAAATTATTAGCAAGAGCAGTGACAAAAAGACATAATTAATTAGTTGCCATATAAATGATTTTAAATTACATATACTTCTCATCCCAGGAACATATTTCACCTTTAGAAAACGTCCAGAGTGAAATCTTGATACCTTAAAAGACAATAGGAATACAAGTCAAAATA